TAGTTACTTTGGAGAAATTATAGAAACTATAAGACTTGATGTATTTTTGGAGTATTTTTCTTCCTATTGTATACAGGAAAGAAAGAACAATTTCACTTAGAATATTTTGGATTGTTAGAACATCTATCTAGTCAAAATTTTTACATTCTTATTCTAAAGCAATTCTAAGGATAGTAAAAGGACAAATATGAAGACAGGATAAACATTTTAAAGTGAGGACAAATGAACATGGCACATATGCACATACGTGCTAAGCCTGCAAGCCTGGAAATCAATGGAAAAATAAAGGCAATCAACTTGTCAATATCATGAGAGCAGATACCTCATCATTATTATTCTAAAATTTTACAAGAAATTAGAATTTGAGGATCACATTTCTTCTTTTACTTCATTGAAGGTTAAATAGTGAACTACCTACTTGGAAAGTACTAAAGGCAAAAATATGATAATATTTGTATTGATGCAAAATGAGTTACTACTTTTTTTTTTCTGAGTAAAATTATCCATGATCTTCTCCCTATACAGTTAAGGTTAGCAGAGGGTGATGTTAGGAACAGTAGGTATGAAATTATGTAAAATAGTCCTAATTTGGGGTAAGATTATTTGCAGTCTTGAAGTCTCAATCTGTATCTATAATATGTTCGTCAGATTTCAATATGGTTTGAAAAATTTTCTAGCAAATGTTCATAAGAGTCTTAGGAAGACCAAGTGGGCCTGAGATGCTATTGGCAGAGAGGGAGTTCAGGGAAGGCCTGAACTGGGCCCTCGGGGCTGGGGGCATCCTCTCTCCAACATATGGCTTTGGAAAGCAACACAAGCCAGGCATTCATTTGTTGGAGACATTGTTGTACTATAAGGTTGGGTGGAGGGTCATCCAGCCTCTGGCCTTTAGGACATGAGTATTATCTGCACTAGAGGGAAGCAGGTGTAGGGAGAAAATGGGTGCCTTGGACATCAGACTGAATTCACTGATTTGCTCAGTGACTGTGTCACTCAGTGGTTGGATGTAAGATCTTATTACAGGACTTTTTGACAATTGGAGACAATTATTTGTGAAATACCACGTGCATCGTAGCTATTATTCTAAAATCGTTGTGGGGAAGGGTAGTCCTCACTCCTTGTGTGCTGAATGGATTGGTGGGGGTGGGACACCTTACTCTTTTAAAAGGTGAAGCCTGTTTGAAAATAATGATGACTGAACTAAATAATGTGCAAGGTTTTCAAATTGAAGCTTATTAGGAGGCAACCTGCATATGTGGTGTGTGTTTTCCAGAGCAGAAGCAAAGTACGTCCTATTTAATATTTGGAGAATAGGTCCTAGTTGCATCTGGAGACTGAATTTCATTGAGATTTTGTTTTGCAGTTTTCCACATGTTTTTAGCTTTTGTATCAAACATAAACGTGCACTGTCTTAAACTAATTGCAGTGTTTAGCAATACTTTTACAGTATTTTAAAAAAATTAAACTTTGAATTCATATACATTAAAGTTATCACTTTATAAACACAAGTGCATAAGAATAAGTGTACATTTACTGTGCAACCAACATCCAGGTTAACAAACGGTTCATGATCAGCTTCCTAGAAGTCTCCTTCGTGTCTAGACCCTGAGGTGTCCTGAAGCCTGCTACTACCAGTTCATGAGAGCAGATTTAGTTCATCTTTTCCCAACTCTGGGTATAGTGATGTCTTCCTGGTAGTTTGAACTTGACCATGGTGGGTATATTTATACCATGGAAATTGGCAAATACTACAAATCCTGGGTCATTTTGTTTGTTATTTTTAGGAAGTCAGTTTACTAGACCACCACCGTTCTCTGTTGCTTATCATAGTTTCCCCAACCCTTCTTCAAGGGTTAACACTCTCCTGACTTCTAAAGGTTCAGTTTAGTTTTGCCAGTTCTGGAACTTTATCTGCTCTGTCAGGAAGTGGATTTCTCAAAGGTAGAAATTGTGCCTCCTTTAGTTCATTCTTCTTATACGGAGATTAACTCAATGAGAGAACTTCATAAGTGTTTGTTGAATAATTAGGTTACTGTAAGATTTAGCCAGTTTTTAATTTAAAAACAAGTCCCTCCCTCCAAACAAACAAACCTTCAGAAGATGGTTATCATACATTTTAATTAAGTTAGTATATATTTATGTTTTCCTGTGTTTTAGATTTTTGTATAAAGCCAGGATGAATCTTCCTACTCATATCTAATCCTACAATAGTTACCATTTATAGCTTTCCTTTGCAAAGGGAGGCAGTGTTAAAGTGGCACAGAACTACAGTGGAAGTTTAGTACCAGTCTGAGTATATAACCAGGTGACACTCAGAAAAGGGTGCCATTGCTAGGGTGACAGCATAACAGTAGCTGCAGCCAGGCCAGGGGGTTCATGAAAAGTAGTTCACAAAGTTTTATGCAGAAGTGGGCAGAGAGATTTTGAGGGTGCTCTACAGCTCACAGGGCGAGTAAGAATAGTAGCACAATTAGAAGTAGCGAGCAGGCCTAGGCACGATGAGGTCTTAGCCTTGCCTTTCTCTTGGCTGGTTGCATGGTGGTGTGCAAGTCACTTCACTTCACCTTTTATTAATCTTGAGAAGAAGGGAGTTGGTGTACATGAGCAGTCATGCCCTTTCTAAAGCTTGCAAGACTTAGATTGCTCAGTTGTGTGTGTGTGTGTGCTCATGAGAGAAAGAAACACCCATCCACACCCATGCCAGGGCACATCTCCAGAAGGGAGGAAGGAGGTGTGCGGAACAGTGGAAGGGTCGGGCTCGGATCCCTCAGCTGGTGCATCACACTGCCATTTCCTCCAAAATTGTCTGTTTCTAATCTCTGAGTTGCAGTGAACAAATGACCATAATGTACATTGCCTTCTCCTTTGAGGCCAAAGATTTTGATTAAATACAACCACAGCTAATCAACCAAAGCTTAAAAATATTAGACTACTTTTACACAAAATTTTATGATTAAACAAAAGCCTGTGAAATCGCCTTTACTCAGGCCATCTTTGCTGTTGTTATTTCCTTAGTAGACTTGTTGCTAAGTGGGTAGTGCAAACAATCTTATGGAGGGAGTGTATTTAAAGATTGTTTCAGCAAATGCAGGGGCAGTTTTCTGAGGTATGAGGCATTATTGTATTTCCAGAGATACCCAAGATGTACATTACTTTTTAGGATAGATGACTCCTAAAACAAAATAAAACAAAACAAAACAAAAATTTTAGTACTCACAAATTAGTTTTAAAATACAAAGTATATTTCAAACTCAGCTCCCAAGAATGAAATGAGAAATACAATTCAGGTACATATTTGGCAGAAAAAATTCAAGGATTACAAATAGACTTTAAACTTAAAAAGGAGATAAAGTATCAGTGTGCAGTGAGCATGTGTGTAAACAGCTTATCCTAATTTGAGGTGCTACTTAGTAGAAATAATGGATATAGTGTAACAGTACTTATCTTGGGGTTAAGTATATATATACGTGATTTAATTCTTTGATTCCTCATCTGTAAAAGAGGAGTGATAATATGCATCTCATAGAATTGTAGGAGTAAAGCTAATCTACATAAAGTATTTAATATGTGTCAGGCACATTTAAAAACCATTACAAAATGTTATACTTTTGAAATTTTTCATAGGCTAAAGGAGCCTGTATTATACTGGAGTAATTAACATTACAATGTATGCCATTCAATTCAATATGGTAACTATTTCTCAGTGTTTACAGTGTGCCACGGATTAATGACAAAAACACATTTCTGTCTCAGAAATACACAATATCCATAAGCAAAGAGACTAAAGAAAAGACATTTCATTTGAGAGGCATATATCCAGAGTGATATATAAATAAGATTCTCTTTCAGCTTCTGGAGTAGATTAGGGGTGAGGGCGAGGAATTTGTTCTTGGGAAAGTTGATCTCTTACTTCGGTTCTATATTGTCTGCGGTTCTATGCTGTCAAAGAGAACATTAAATCTAGTAATGTCTATACCTCTGATATCTTTCCAGATCTAATCTGTCTCTTGAAAGGTATTAATGAGTAATTGAAGTGCCTTAAATTCTGTAGTTGTGCATGGAATGAGTGAAAAGGGGGTGAGAGCATTAACAAAAGAAATACGTTATGACAATTACTAGACATATCTTTAGTCACAGACCACTGAGGGGAGAAGAGAGACAAAAGACTTAAGAATAACCAACATAGCCTGTGGAGGAGGAAAAAGAAGTTGAATGTTCTTTTGGCTGCTAATTTGACCATGGGGAATCATAGCCTTTGACTTTGTTTTACCTGAATAAAGGAAATTACACCACAAAATGAGTAGAATTGTTGTATCCCCAAAAGATATGCTCGAGTCCTAACCTGTACACCTGTAAATGTGACCTTATTTGGAAATAGAATCTTTGCAGATGTAATTGAGTTAAGATGAGGACTTTTTGATTTGGGGCCCCAATTCCATGACTGATGTTTGTGGAAGAAGAGAGAAGTCTACACACACACACACACATGCACACACACACACACACACGCACACACACACACACACACACACACACGTGCTTAGAGAAATGTCATGTAAAGATGGAAGCACAGATCAGAGTGATGCACCTATAAGCCAAGAAATGACACAGATTGCTGGCAACCACCAGAAGGTGGGAGAGAGTCATGGGACAGATTTTCTCTGAGAGCCTCCAGAATGAACCAACTCTGCTGACTCCTTGAGTTTTGATTCTGTATTCCAGAACTATGGGAGAATATACTCCTGCTGCCTAAAGCCACTTGGCTTGTAGTATTTGTTTTGTTAAACTAGTTAACAAAAACAGACCTCTATCTATTTAAATATGGTATCAACACTAACATTTATATACAAGCATGATGACCTTAGTTTCCAGTTTTTAATAACTGAATAATTGCATGTGATTATATCTTGGGTATTAGAAATAATAATTGTCTGCTTACCAATGTTCCTCCATTCACCATGGTTTCTCTCTTTTTGTTTCAGATAGCTATTAGTTTTACAATGGACTCTCTTATAGAAGCAAACACGAAATTTTGCTTTGATCTCTTCCAAGAGATTACCAAAAATGACTCCCAAAAAAATATATTTTTCTGTCCTCTAAGCCTCTCAGCTGCCCTTGGCATGGTCCGCCTGGGGGCTAGAAGTAACAGTGCACATCAGATCGATGAGGTGAGTATCCATGAAGGTGCTGCATGGGGTTCTGAACTCTGGATCCACATTCAAAGTCAGATACTAATCCTACTCTGAGGTGGGTTGAGTTACTCCCTGCACCCCTGACTTGTGGGGGACCCTTTTACCTCTGAGATTTCATTTGAATTTTTCCTCCCTCCCTCCCTTCTTTCCTTTCCTCCTCTCTCCCTCCCTTCTTCCATCTTCCCTCCCTCTATTCCTCCCGCCCTTCTTCCTTCTTTCCTTCCTACCCTCCTTTCTTTTCCTTTCCTTTCCTTTCTTCTTTCCTTTCCTTTCATTTCCTTCCTTTCTCTCTTTTTTAAAATTTTGGTTCTGGGGATTGAAGCAGGTCTTCCAGCTTGCTAGGCAAGTACTCTATCACTTGAACCTTGTCTCTACTCCCACTTTGAAAGAAATTGGTTTTGAGATAGGGTCTTGCCAACTTTGCCTGGACTGGCCTCCAACTTGAAATCCTGCTGCCTGTACATCCTGAGCAGCTGTGTATCACCATGCCCAACTACCCCCACCTTGCTTTCTCTCTAATTCTAGCATTCTTCTAGGTTCAATCAAACTTCCACTTCCTTTTTGGAGCTTCCACAAATCATTTCCATCTGTACATCCATTCTCTTTCTGCATTGGTAATTTTTACTAGTGTATGTGTTTTCTTGTTCATTCATTCCATTAACTCCACATTCTTTAAGTAGCAGCTATTTATCTAGTGGCTGGAGACCTTGGCATTCTCCTGTAGTCTTTTTCCTCTTTTATTCAATACCACATTGTGAGAAAATCTTGTTGTCTTTCCTTTCAAAATAAATTCAGAATCCAGGCACTTGACACCATCTCCCTGAGTTCTGAACCACACATCTCTTCTAACCTGCTTCTGTGAGATCTAATACTGCTCCCCTGATAGTTCGTTCTGAAATCCTTTCAAAACTCATGGCAGATCGTGTTTCTCAGTTTCTTAAAAATCCAGACTTCTTTTTGTGCCTATGATAGAAACCCAGGTCCTTCAAATGATCCATGAAGATCTGGGGATCTGAATCTCAGAACCATCTTTTGACTCCATCTCTCACCCTCTGCTCTCCCCTACCTTGCCTATTAAACTGGCCACTTGATGCCTGTGGGAAAGCCACACGCTTCTGTCTTGGGGCCTTTGTTTGGGTCTCGTTGCCTGGTGGCTCATCTTTCAGATATCAAATCTCTTATTTACTTTCTCTTTCAAGACTTTGATCAGTGTTTACCTCCTCTAAAAGACTCATTCTGACTTCTTCATTTAATGCCAACCCAAGCTCCCAATCTCATAAGTGATCCTAGCCCCTTTTCTCCACACATTTTCCACCATTTAGTATACTGCATAAGGTAACAGTTACTGTGCATATTGCTTTTCTGTATGTCTCCTCCATTAGAATATAATCTTTGAGAGAGCAGGAATCTTTGTCTTAGAATAGTGCTTAGCTTAGAGTAGATGCTTGTAGAATGAATAAATGAAGATGATGAGAACAACTCCTTACATAAACTGTAAGCTCCCCAGGTTGGTTCAAACTTCCTTGGATCTACCACAGAGCAGTAGGGTTAGGTATCAATAAGGCCATTGTTCCTGAATATGTAGGAGTAATATTCGTGAGTTAAGGCAGAATGTGTTTGGAGTCATTCTGTTTCATGTGTCTATTTAGATTTGCTGTGGCAGTATTTTCTTATTCCATTAGCAAAACTTAGTTGTAGGATGTGGTTTGCATCCTCCAGGTCTGCCTGATCTTCTTTCTCCAGGCACTTAGTGGTCATCTGACAACAACCTGGGTCTGAGCAGTGTGGGATATACCTCTTGTCCACTATTTTCTGTGAGGATCTGAGCAGCTTGTCTAGTGCCATCCTCATTGCCCTGATTGATTTGAAACTCAAGATTAGTGCTGCCCCATGCAAGTTTACTTCAAGTCATATATGTAATTAAAACATTGGTAGTAGCTGGATTAAAAAGGTTTAAAGGTAAGAATAATTTTAATCATAAGTTATATTTACTATACTTCCAAAATATCAACATGTAATCAATATAAAAATTTTAATGAGATTTTAATTCCTTGTTTTTCATACTGTCTTCAAGATTTAATGCACAGTTTATATTAATAGTCAATTCAGACTGGCTGACCATGTATGAAGTGCTTAATAGTTACATGTAGCTTATGGATTCCTCTCTATTCTTTTAGTCTGGCTATAAGACTAAACTAGTCCTGGGGGAGAGTGGCAATCAGCTACTTCCCCTCCATTCCACTTCATAATCCAAGGAAAGAAGCACCCACTTCTTTAAACTCTTGTTGATTAGTTTGTTGATGGCATAACCATTGTCATTTCATATTATAAAATGTGTCTGAAACTACTCAGACTTCCTACCATTTGTCTTGTCTGAGAGACCCCTATTGTTATTCTGCAGGTGCTCCACTTCAATGAACTTTCTCAGAGTGAAAGCCAAGACCCTGACCCCTGTCGAAAAAGCACTAAAGAAGTGCCGCGGGATAGCTCTCTGGAAGGACAGAAACAAAAGACAGAGGCTCGGGATCAGCAGGTGAGCTGCCTCTGTCAACTGCCCTGCTTACCGACTGACTGCTCATTCTGCCTGAACTGTATTTCATGATGGGAGCTTATCCCCAAACATAAGGTCTTGGTTGCTATCAACAGCAATAACCTATATGACCTGTGTTTTCTTTATAACTATGCTTTTTATATGTCCTTGGCTATGAGCTAGTTTCCTAATGAGTAGGATCTGGTGTCTTCAGCCCCATTACTCACCTGCTTCTACAGGTCACAGGTTCCCAGGATGAGGTGTGTTTGAAGGTGAAGGGCATTGAAGGGTAAGGGTTACTGTGGAATTCCAGCTTTTTCCCTGTACCTCTGCCAGTTCTATTTTGTGCTGAACACTGTAAGGACACACCCAACTGTTATGGTGGCCTCAGACCGGGAGCAAGGAAGATATTTTCCAGGTTATCCTTACCTTAGAAAGTTTGAGAGGAAGGTGGAGAGATGGATTTCTTATATCTTTTTGGATACAAAGAAAACCAAGTGCTCCCAAATAAAATATCCTGTGCATTGCTGATTCCCAAAAATGCTTTCCCTGGATGATTGACATTGTGGGAGCCACGAGTTCCCAGGGACACCACTTGCTGGCTACACCCAGTAACAAAGAGAAATGACATCTCACCAAGCAGTTCTAACTCACTTCTGTAAAAATACGTTTCCTTTAGTGGTATTTAACCTTTCTGACCATCACATTTTGTTTCTTCTTTTGCTAGACCGAGTCCTCAAATGATGAGAATGAAGTGCTTAGCTGCTACTTCGGGAAGCTTCTTGCCAAACTAGATAGGACCAAAGCTTATTACACTCTGAGTATGGCCAACAGGCTCTATGGAGAGCAGGAATACCCAATCTGCCCGGTGAGTTGCCCCTGAGTGGAGATTAAAGCTACCAGAGAGCATGCTATTTAAAAATAAGTGGGTAGGTGAATGACTCACCTACCACAAGTACATGAAACTCTTTGACAAGATGATACATTGTGGACTGATGGGGTGTCCTGGAGCTACCTCTGTCTGTCTCATACTTGTATTTCCTTCCACCCAGTTTTCAACTTGAGCTTAAGAGATTCTTTGTAAGTGCCATAGAGTGGGTGGACAAGAGTCATATGAATAATAGCCTCCAGAGTCTGAGTGGGCTTGGTGATTGCATTCTCACGACTGTTTTTCCTAATCAAGGTGCCTGGTAGGTGTATTTTGTAGCTGCTTTGCCTGTTGGCTGCCCCCTGGGCACATCTGTGCCATGATCAGGTGGCCTGCAGTGGAGCTGTGTCCTCTTGCTTTGCACAAAGAGCCCAATTGGAAGCCAAAAGCCAGAGGGCTTCTCTGTGGTCAAGTAGGTTTTACTGGAGCACGATGGGTCTCAGTTTGGGCTCAGCTACATCTATAGTCCCCAGAAGGAGCAGCATACTAAGCAATGATTGTGGGAGATGTGACCAGAGGCAAATATGCACATAACTGGTTAGAGTTCTAATCAGGGGTTGGGAGAATCTACTTTTGACCAAAGTAAGTGTGTTTTCTTACTTTGGGAATGAGACTTAGCATCAGATGAGAAAAACAACAGATTTTTGATATATAAATTCATATATCATACAAGTCATCTATTAAAAAGTATGTAAATCAATGATTTTGGTATATTACACTATTCATTGAAAAATTAAAATACACATAGCACAATTTGCCATTTTTAAGTTTACAACCCAGTGGTATTAATTATTCACAATATTGTATAATCATCACCCTGTCTACCTCTGAAACTTTTTAAGCACCCCAAACAGAAACTCTGCAAGCATTAATTGAGGTTTTAATGCTTAAAAACAGAAGCATTTAACAACTAGGCCTCTCAAGTTACTTGATGTTTACCTATGATGTTTCTGTAAGTGGACTGTTTAAATAAAAGGGTATCTGGTAGGAATGTCCCTGTCACTGTAACTATAGACTACTTCATTTTTAAAAATTTTCCACCCTCTCTCTTCTCTTCCCCCTCACTTCCAGGCAGAACCTGTTCTGTGCTTTTCTTCAGTTCCAGAGGAGTAGAAATAAGCAGTAATAAGAAAGACAGCGTTTTTGCTAGTTGAGATAAGGACAGCTGTACAAAGAGATTCCTAGCATTGCTTTCATGCACAAATGTGTTACAACCCACGTTGGTTCATCTCTAACTGATCATTACACTGGTTCCTGATCCCCTTCTCATGTTGACCTCTGTCACTTTAAGGTTTCTGTATTAGTTCCTCTGGAGTAGAGACATCAAATGCTTTCATGTTTGGGTTTCTTACTATAGACTAATTCATGAATAAACATTCTATGTCCTGCATTATCACAATGAATGAAATGCTTCTGGGTAATTAAGACTAGGATAGATTTATTTGACTCAGTTGTATGTATCTTCTAACAATTGCTTGAGATAATGCTGCAAGAGACATTCAGAAAAGGTTCACAGTAGCCCACATATCTGAATCTACAGGAAAGACCAAAAATGTTAACTTATAACACTATTTTTTTCAGCTGGTGGAGTGGCTCAAACAAGTGTGAGGCTCTGAGTTTAAACCCAAATGCTGCCAAGAAAAGTACTTCAACATTATTTTTCTATTTAGAAGTTAAATTTTTTTTTAAAGAAGGAAATTCAATTTAAGCATCCTTAATGTTTAAGTAAGGCACATTGTTGACTCTCTGAAAGAGTCCTTATAAATAATTATGCTTTAATAATAAGTTATGTCTTCAAATAAAGTGGGACTAGATACAAGCTCATTCCACTGTTAGATGAACAAGCACATTTTCTCTTTAGGCTTCCTCTGCCTCACTCTATTGGAGTTTGAACTTAGGGTTTTGTACTTGCTAGGCAAGCACTCTACTACTTGAGCCACCCCCCTAGCCTTTCCTCATTCTTGACTATTAGCATCTCTGTGTGATTTTGTTGCAATATTTCCCATTTGTTTTAATTGAACAGGAATACATAGATGGTGTAATTCAGTTTTACCACACAACGATTGAAAGTGTTGATTTTCAGAAAGACACTGAACAGTCTAGACAAAAGATTAACTTCTGGGTTGAAAGTCAAAGCCAAGGTAAGAGTGACTAAATACATTGTAACTGGTGGTATTCCTTTCCATTTCAAAGCAAACCAGTCAGAACAGCTTTACAGTTTGCTAATCTTTTGGGGCCAGATGTTCACATAGGTGGACTATGTTCAAAGCTCATTTTGAGTAGCATCAAACAGTTACAATGCTTATATATTTCTGTTGAGTATTATTACCCTTTTGCTCCAAAATAAATAAAGGGGAAATGCCTGCCAGCCAAGCACAATGCTGGCAGGATGTTAACTCTTCCCATTAATTTTAAAAGGTTAGTAAAAGTTATGAAGCAAATCCAGTTTCTCAGAGAACAGGGAAATAATAAAATCCTTGTTTGTATAAATTTTTCACTAAATGTGTAGATATTTTCTTTTATTTCTTCTTCTTCTTTTCTTTTCCTCCTCCTCCTCCTCCCTCCTCCTTCTCCCTCCTCTTCCTCCTTCTCCCTCCTCTTCCTCCTTCTTTTTCTTTCTTCTTCAGTGGAACTGGGGTTTGACTTCAGAGCCTGCTTGAGATGGAGGATCATGAACTTTTTTGTTCAGACTTGTCTGGAACCATGATCTTCCTGATCCCTCCCCACTCCTCTTCCCTCCGCACAGCTTGGGATGAAAGGTGCACTACTGCACCCATCTGTTGGTGAGACAGGGTCTCGAGCCATTTGCCTGGGCTGGCCTCAAACTGCAATCCTCGCAATCTCAGCCTCCCAAGTAGCTAGGATTACAGATGTGAGCCACTGGTAACCAGCTATAGGTATTTTCTTAGTGAAGGGGGAGAGATGACAAGTAATAACACTAAGTTTGACATAAATGGAATAATATTTTACTGTAAAGCTTATCTAGCACTGTCTGGCTTTGAGAAAAATGGAAGTCTCTAAATGGAAGTGAGTTCAGCTTTTATGAACATGGAGCTCCTAAAGTGGCCATTTCTTCTTAGTCACATTTAAATACAATGTGGTGCCCAACTTGCTCGATGGTATTCCTGTCCTTCAAGTGTACTTTCTGACCACCATGCAAGGGAACCCTATGCCATGGATGACTGCCCTCCCCACCATTCATTCTTCAGCCACACCTACTCTGTAATTGTCCTCTTTGTAATCTTTTCTTAATTTAACTCATTTGCATGGTTATTGCAAACAACAAGTAAATAGAGTTTTTTGGAATATTACTCTTTGTGAAATATTTGTACCTTGTTTAAGAATTTCTTCATTTCTGATTTGCTTAAATTAAAACAAAACAGAAATTAAATGAAACGTGGCCTGAAGGCAGCGAGATTAGTCAAATGGCTGTGAAGTTGATGCCTACTCTGTTGTCAGTGGACATGACTGTGAAATGACAGCATAAGAATGAGAAAGTCTCTTGTCGCCACAAAATTCCATGGTTCTCTAAAGTGGCATTTTTGTTTGTTAATAGAGTTCATAGTCTAGTGTTCTGAGTTGATCCTGCTACAGGCTCTTCAAATAAAAAGAGTTTTGCCTCTTCATTCTGAATTTGATTCTGAACTCATCCAACAAGAGAGAGGCTTCTGCCTCTGCTCTAAAATTTTATTCCTGTTTCTTGCTTACTTGCAGTGGTCTTGCCCCTTTACCCCATCTCCACCATAGATTTATTTCCCACTATCTCCATGTCAGATACTCACACCTCTCCAAGTCTATGACTTGTGGAGGTCGTGGCCTGTGGTCTTGTTGGCAGTCTTTAGTTTTCTAAGGCAGGAGGCTAGTTCCTTATTCTCCATGTGAGGATTAGAGAGTGCTCCCTTCTACCAGTGTGTGCCTAGGTTTGCAAAACTAGATGAACTCTGCCTCTCAGTCCTAAACTTAATAGCCTGTGGGGTCATGTCAAGCTGTTAGACATAGATCACGGCACTGTGTGGAGTTGGAGAAAATGTCACGTGCAATAAAAAGTTTGGAGAAGCTGAGAGGTGCATTGCAGCACCAGCCTCTGGAATATGGTTATAACTCAAATTATGGCATATTTTGAGTGACTGACAGCATGGGAAAAATAGTTGACTCACTTTTTGACTTGTCTTTTTTTTGGAGGCTTCCCATTCCTGTCTCCTGTTCTCCTCACATTGACTTAGGGCCAGCTTACCCCTAGTCTTTCCTTAGGGGAAGTCTTCAAATCCCCAAATTATTTGTCCTTCATTCTTCCACATGCCACAGGATTCCCATTCTTTCAGGGCTCTATCAGTGGGCAAGAGGAAAGCAGTACAGAAGGGAATCCTTACTAATGCATGAATACATTGTTCCTCCTTAGTGAGTTATCTCTCCCAGAATATTTTAAGTGTAGATGAAATGAGCGTAATATATTGTTATTGGATGTAAATACAGACATTCTCGAGGTAGAATGCCTTCTCTCCTATTCCTCAGCAATGCACTCACGTAACGGGCGATTTGGTATATTGGGGTGGAGCAGATGTGCCCTGAGGTGGACTAGTGTCTGATAGCATGGGGTTTTCAGTCATCCACAGGGTTGTGTTATTGTGGAAGGAGCCCAGAGCTGGGCCAAGAGAGAAAGACCTAGGACCAATCCTGGGCAACCATGCTGCTTCTTGGCTTTTTGGCATCACCACTTCTGATTGGTTTCAGTGTATTATTTTATAAAGAAGAGACAACCATCCCTACTTCTTATGACTTATATGGAGTAGAATGAAAGAGGGCATGTGAAAGTCCCTACAAAATAGGTTTTGTATCATGGCCTACTACATTTGTATACATATTTGCTTAATGCCAGCATACATACTGCACTATGATAAACACTCAAGGCAAGAAGTTCATACCATAGCTATTTCCTCAAGGAATTGACAAAAGTCAGGTGGTTGGACTATAATTTGAAAGATAAACCATGCATTAGATGTTTGGTGGCAAGTTCCAACCAAAAGTGGAACAGAGCATCAGAGAAGATTCTTTTAGTTCTAAGTGTTCTGAATTGGATCTTCCTTTAGGTGGAATGAAAAAGTTCCTCCCGGTCATTACTTGCACCCTTCCTCCTCTACCACTCAACCACTTTTATGAGGCCTTTAGTTTTCTTAGGTTAGTTCTTGAATGGACGTTTTCTAACCTTGGGCATGTTAATTGCATTAAGAGATCTGTCTTCATGGATACTTTTGTTATAAGAGATCTGTCTTTGTGAATACTTTTGTTGTAATTCATGCTCACAAAATTTTCTCTAGGTAAAATCAAGGAACTGTTCAGCAAGGATACTATCAGCAGTGCAACTGTGTTGGTCCTGGTGAATGCTGTTTACTTCAAGGCCAAATGGGAAAAAAGCTTTGACTGTGAAAATACAGTTGATGCACTTTTCTCTCTAAATGAGGTACTGTATCAGAGCCCATGGTTTCCTAGATAATCCACTCAGAATTCTACAACATTCACCATATGTGGGAGTCAAGTCTAAAGCTTAGGTCTCTGAGTTGTAGCTTATAATTAGAACATTTTGTGATTAACAAAAGTCAGCACATGAAGTTCATTGAGCATTTTTGATTTAGCTATTCTGCAATATACACATATTTCAGAACATCATATTGTATACGATAAATACATAGTTTTTATTAAGCAAATAAAAATGAATACACTTAAAAAAGATATTGGCCTCTTCATTCTGAATTCAGAAAGCCAAGAAGTAAAAGGACTCAATTTCTCTAACTTTTTTCCCTGTTTCTTGTTTTCTTACTGTGTTCTTCTCCTTTGCCCCATCTTCCCCAAGACTTATCACAGTCCATACTCATGTCAGAAACTAAAACCACCTTAGTCCATGTTTTATGGTGGAAGTGGCCTGTGGTTTTGTTGGTGGTTCTTGGAAAAAAGGGAAGAGATCTGCTGTGAGCTACCCAGAATGCTATCCTTTCATAATTTCATTTGTTCTCCAAAATAGCATTATGAAATGGTTGATATTATTTCCACTTAAGATTTAAGAGGAAAAAATGCAAAGGCTAAGTTCCTCAGCCATGCCTTAGGATTCACATCTGTATTAGACCTAAAGCCCATGTTCTAAACCACTAGGCTTAGAATTGGAGGAGACCGCAGGGATCCAGTCCCAATCACCAACTGCTTAGCTTTGTTACTGGGGGCACATTTTCTTCTCCAGTGCCAGAGCCTTTTTCTGTACATTGGTGACTTCCTCAACCTCATGGTTATTACAAAGTTTAAGGTGCCCAGAAGAGTGTCTTTTCCTCTGAAGGAAGGTGCTATTATTTAATATGTAGATGGTTGCTACTTAATCATGGCTCCCCTTGGTGCAGTGGAGGGGTTGTCTAGGCCACCAGACATGAGTGATGTGAAGCTAGGGACTGGGGTGGAGTGAGCATTGAAGACATGGAGCTTTCAGGTCTTGCTTTGGCTGACTACGCTGTGAGGGACGATTGGATGGAAAGTCTACCAATAAATAGTCTTGAAAGCTGAAGAACTGAGTAGAAGCATGGGAACACAAAGTGTTGGAAAAGTCACCCTAAAGATCAAAGTCTGATCACTGGCAGAGGACTCTCAGGTTGGGTCACTAGCATGGCTCTGAACTTCTGGTGCAGACCCTTCTCTTAAAGAACCCCCATTTTCAGGGAAGTTGGAACAGTGAGACTTTGTGAGCTTTCTATGGCCATCTGTGACTTCCTGCCTGTCTACTGCAGAATGAAAAGAAGACTGTAAAGATGATGAATCAGAAGGGTCGGTTTCCAATTGGCTTCATTGAGGAGCTGCAGGCGCAGATCCTGGAAATGAAGTATACTTTGGGGAAACTCAGCATGTTCATCCTGCTGCCACCTTGGTCTGATGACAATATGAAGGGCCTTCAAGAGGTAATGTCCATTCAAAAGTGTAGTTCTAATCATCAGAGAGCAGCATTATCATCCACCATCCTGAGAAAGGCTGATAGCCCAGCTATCAGAGATATACAAGACGATGTAGGAATTTGAATGAGATTAGATGTCTATCTCTTATATTTTAAATCCAAAGAACAAATGTCAAAAATATTGGAATAGGGGTTTTTGTCTTTAAAATTCACAACTCTCTGCTGTCATTTTTATTGACCAAGGAATCTGAATGCTGAGTAACTTGAGAATTGCTCTAGTGAAACAGCTTTTCCTTTTCACTGAAGATGCCAACTTCTGGCCTCTACTCAGACTATTTTGCTACAGTTCAGTTAAGGACCTTGGCTGCATTCTGTTTTTGGGTGCATGCACTTTTTGACAAAGAAACTGATACTATAAGGCAGGAATTAATGAAAGCTGGAGAGGCATAGCTACATATTGTCCTAAGGGGTAAAAAGAAAGAGCTAAAGATGAAAAGAGAGAGAGGGAGGGAGAGAGAGAGACAGAGAGCGAGAGAGAGAGAGTGAGCAAGCACAATACCAGTATTTTAATTACAATAATAGTAACAACCATTATTCAAAATTTACTATGTGCCAGCACTTTGTTAATGTATGCTAAGTACTTTAGATACATTATTTTATTTAATATTTGCAAGAGCTGAATTATATTGTCTCTATTTTATAGAAGAGAAAATTTAATTATAGAGTGTTAGACCTTGCCCAAGCTTACCCACCTGAGCTTTGTTGGTTTTTGAACATGAGTCTGTCAAATACCAAAGGATGCTGGAGCCCAAATTGTCTTTTAACTTCTGGAAATGAAAGAGATTTGCTTGGGAGGCATTTTAATGAACTCAAACTATTTTAAGGCTTGGGGGATGAACTTAAAGACTGCATGTAACTGACTGTTCAAATGAACTCAGCACTTTTAAGTAATTGGGACATTCTTTGTAGGTTTACAATCTGACCCTAAATATTATTTTCTTCCTTTTGTAGCTTGAAAGAAATATAAACTATGAAAAAATGGTGGCCTGGAGTAGCTCAGAAAACATGTCAGAACAAGAAGTAGCTGTCTCCTTCCCCCAGTTCACCATGGAAGACAGCTATGATCTTAATTCTATTCTGCAAGACATGGGTATTACGGATATCTTCAATGAGATGAAGGCTGATCTTACTGGAATCTCTCCAGACCCGAATCTGTATCTGTCCAAAATTATCCACAAGACCTTTGTGGAGGTGGATGAAATTGGCACACAGGCAGCTGCAGCCAGCGGGGCTGTTGGCCTGACAAGATCACAGCCATCTTGGATAGAGTTTAATGCCAACCGCCCTTTTCTCTTCTTCATTAGACACAACAAAACCCAAACGATTCTTTTCTACGGTAGAGTCTGCTCTCCTTGAAAGGGGCACATGGTCTAGTACTTGGGTGCAGGGGGAAAATGGCAAGACAGTCTTCCCTTTATGTCATGATTACTTGTGTTTTTGCTAATATCTAAAGCTGATCCAATTCTGTGACTGCTGCATGCTTGCTTCCTCCAATCATCAGCTTGAGTTTGTCCTGATTTTTCTGTCAACCTGAAGTTAGCTCAATAACCTGAAGTGGTTATTGAAACACTTTTCCTTTTCTCTAACTTTTACTGCCTTAAACTTTCCTGTACACATTTTGACCATCTGTGGAGGCTGGGCTTAGTGGCTCACATCTATAATCCCAGCAACTTGGGAAGGAAAGATTGGGAGAACTGCAGTGCAAGACCAGCCTGGGCAAAAAGTTAGTGTGAACCCCATCTCAACAAAAGACCTGGGTGTAGTGGTATGAGTCTGAGATCCCAACCAGGAGATGAAGATAGGAGGATCAGTCCAAGGCTGGCCTCAGGCAAAAACGTGAGACCCTATCTGAAATATAACTAAAGCAAAAAATGGTTGGGGTTACTGCTCAAGTGTTAGAGTGCCTGCCTAACAAGTGTGAGTCCCTGAGCTCAAACCTTAGTACCACCCGCCCCACCCAACAATGACTCACCTCTGTGACTTGAAGCTCAGCACAATGTGGACTGGTATTGGCTTTAAGTTACTTACCTCCTTAAGAGACTCCTGAAAGATTGTCATTAGATCACTTCTGAGAGATGGCAAACTCAGAAATCTCTTCAGCATGGTGGCGAGAGAAAGTGTTTGACTAGGATATTTTTGGAAACTTGTGTTCTTTTTCTAGGGTGGTTATAATCATGGCCATCCCTGGGTAAGGCTCTGCCTCTTCCTCATCCATCTTCCACTGCACAGAGGATGTCTTGTGAGAGTTTTTCATTTGGAAGATGGTAGGTCTTGGGGTATATTTAAATGGGAGCCCAAGGATATATGAATCCCCCAACCAGGCACTCAATTTGCACAATGTCATGTCATTTGTATTATGAATTTGACACTGACCCAGGAAAGTGGAAAGTGGGTTGAAAAATGTTTGCTCTTAGCTTTCCTTATTGAATTGGTTAAAGCATCATCATGATGCATTTCCCTTTTGTCTCTTCATACACTTCTTCAGAGAATTCCCACCTGTAGCCATTTGGTCCTAAATACCCAACAAGCTGAGAGGGGGAAAGGAACCTGCCACCATTATGGATGGCTGGCTCCCCATTCTCCCCTCTCTGCTGTCTGGCAATATGACCTATTTGTCCCCCCAGAGTCCTCATGTCTGGACCCATTGTGAGAGCAGTCCTTGCCTGGACATGATGCACATGGAAACCGTTTTGAGGAAGGTCATTGGCTTCATGTCAAGCTCCATGCTTCTGAACTCCTGAGTGATCAGACTTCTTGGTCCTCCAGCTTTGTCTCTGATACAGTAATCAACCTAAGTTCATGATCTTTGCCTTAGTTAAATACTCTGCCATGGGGACTGTGGCTCAAGTGGTAGGGTGCTTGCCTAGCAATCATGAGGCCCTGAGTTCAGACCACCGTACCCCAAAAAGTTAAACAAACAAACAAAAAATACTCTGCAATGACTGCTGGACATCTAATCCAAGCAGTCAACCTTTTTTCTGCCAAAGTGAATTTCTGATCTTGGTTAGTGGTCCACTTTCCCTGCCTTATGATGGTCCTCCCAGCTGCCATGGCCTTGGTTTAGGGTTGCTGCAGTGGGTTTTGTGGGAGTCAATAGATACAACATACAACCTCCCCCCCCTCCCCAACACACACACACTGGGGATTGATTTCAGTAGGTCTTGGGATTGGTCTCAGTGGGTCTTGTGCTTGCTAGGCAGGCACTCTATCACTTGAGTCATACCCCCAGTCCCTTTGCTTTTTGTTTGATTTTCAGATAGGATCTCACACTAACTTTGACAGTGTTGGTCTTGAACTGCTATCCTCCTTAAAACTTTGCCTCTCTGAGTAGCTGAGTCAACAGGTTAACTTTACCTGATCTTATGCTGGCCTCCTCCCCTATCCCTAGTAACTTCTTTCTGCTATGAAAGATGAATTTCTTGTTTATATAGCTTTCTCATTGTTGAATCTCATTTATGGAAGAAAACAATTTGTTATTGATAATAGGCAGTTGGAGGCAAAAAGAAACTCTTGAATCTTCATTTTACTTGTACTGGCAAGACTTACCTGCCAATATGGCAGCCAGAGGCAGAAAGAACATCCAGCCTAGCAGGCTGCTGTAATTGGAAGAAAACCAAACAGGTCATGAAAATCATTAGGAGAATGGGATCCTCTATTTTTCAGTCCAAGTTTCCTTCTATCTAACAATGTTGACATCAGGTAGAAAAATGAGGCAATGTAGATACAAAAACAATCGCTTCCTTTCTGCTGACTAAATTCTGCTAAGAGAACCATGGCTGTATAGGACCTAACAGGGCCTCTAGTGTTCTCCGATTCGTGTTCAAGTTTTTTCTACCCTACTCTTCCTTATGGTTTCCTACAGTGTCTAATGCATGGTTTCCCTCCATACTCCACCCCAGATTTTCCCTTTAGTTGAGGCAAGTCAGAACATGTTGCTTCATCCATAATTGCTGTTTACTTCTTTTGCATGCATGGTATTTAAAAAACCTCAGTATCATTAACCTGAGACAGAAGTGCAACTGGACCAGCAAGGTGGAGGCTATGCAGTTTTCTCAGTGCATTTCTTTTTTCCACAGTTGAGTATCAACTACAAATTTAATCTTCCTCCACATCACAGTGTTACATTCTTATTTTTCCATGTTCATTTCTTGTTCTTTTCTTCTTATCAATCAAAAGAATCCAAATTCTTTCCTTTTTATTCAATAAAAATAGTTAAAAAAATTCCCAAACATATGTCTTACTCAGGTATTATTCATAGGCTTAATTTATAAGTTCCAATATTCTAATATGATAATTTTCCCTTCTGAATAATGCTATCCATCATATGCATCAAGTTTTAGCTACAAATGAGTAAAAAGCAATAAGATAACAGGGCAGGAGGTGTGTGTGGGGGGTGCTGAAGGAAATCCACATACCCTTTGTTGACTCACTTAGGTTCTGAATAGATCATCTCAAGTTCAATGTGAAATAAATGGAAAGAGATAAGATCATGAAGAACATATTGTGTTAAATAAAGAGAAAAATGCTGTGCAAAAGATGTGAAAAAAGCTCAAAAATGATTTATAGCAGGGAGTGGAAGAAAAAATGTTCAGAAAAGTTTAGAAAACATTTTTGGCATGCTTATTAAGTAAATATGGAATTAGAGCAGAAATCGCTGAAGATAAGCTGTGCCAAAATAGGAAGACTGCTAGGGAGCTAAAATGCAGTAGAAGAATTTAAATGAACTTTAAAGTCAGCCATGAAGGAAAACTGACACACTGGAAAATTTAATTAGTGACTAATATGGTATATTTGAGTAATTCTCTGAGAATATACAGAAATAGAAGGAAGTTGGTAAACATAAAGAGAGTAGAAATTATGGTGTTCCTGAGGAAGAAAGCAGATTGGTTAGCATGGAGTCAATAATCATAGACATCATGGAAGGAAATCCTCTTAACTTGGATATCACCTAATATACCAATTGAGTTCCAAGAAAAATAATAAGAATCATAAAAATAATATTAGCAAATATTGATAACAGTACCATCAAATAAATAACAAATAAAACAATAATGAAAATAAAGAAAACAGACATGTCAAGAAACTAAAGTTTGAGAATATAATCCTATCCAAGTACTAAAGAACATAGATTATGGGTAACGGAAAAAAAGTCAGATGTTTCTCAAGCATTTATTTTGCATTGAATTTCTGAAGAAAATAGAAACTACTTCATAGGTTTTAAGGGAAAATATATAACTGAAGAAGCACACTGATAACTGTTGAAAAATAGGTGGGAAGGGGGATGGGAAGGAAGGGAAAGAGAGTAATAGAGGATATTAATCTGATTAAAGTAAAATATATTCATGTGTGAAATCCACAATGAAATCCCTTTGACAATGAATATATGCTAAAAAAATGAAGGAGAGAATTCTCAGGTCTTGTTTGAGAATGGGTAATACAGGGTGGGGAAGGTGAATAGAGGTAGTGAAGGAGGGTAAATATGGGTGACATACTTAATATGCTGGTACAAAAATAGAATGATGAAACCTGTTGAAATTGTTTTAAGACTGGGGAGGAATGAGGGAGAACGATGGAGGGGTGAATCTAATAATGGCACATTGTAAGCATCTATGGAAATGTCACAGTGAAAAAAATACCCCTCCCCGTTCAACTAATATATGCTAATAAAAACCTTAAAAATAGAATTCTATACTCAGTCAAGTCAAATTCCACGTGCAAATACAACAGAGATTTATTACCAGATACGATTTTGTGTATGTGAGTGTGGCTGTGGTTAATCCCTGGCACCTGAACCATGCTGTAAACATTAAAGAAATTAAAATTAAATGCACATTGCTTTGTGTAAAATTAAATCAAAGACTCCAAAATCCAGCAAAGAAATTCCTTCACTAAAAACACATCTTTGTAATCAAAGAAAGAAGAAAACTTCCTTATTTAGAGTTTTCACTATATCTAAAATATATATCTAAAAATTGTTGGCAGCTGATTTTTTTAAATGTTGATCCATACATGAGATGAATTTCAATTTTGAAAATAGGAATGTAGCCATGAACTGAGTTGAAACAATAATGACACCCAATACTTACTGTATTTATTGTGTGCCAGCATTGGGGGAGAACTTCATTAACCTATTTTATCCTCTTAGTCATCCTGAGAACTGGGTTACTATTATTATTCACATTAAACCTATGACAAACTGAGGCACAGAGAGATTAAGAAATCTGCCTAATGTTCCCAGGGAACCAAATGACTGAACCTGGATTTGATAGGAGCTGGCTAGCTGGATACTATACACTTGATTAGTAACTATACTCTGGGCATCCTTTCAAGTAGAAATAAAGAATTCGGGGGGGTCA